ATTTTCATTGTCAACCACTTATGTGTGAAATAATTTAATTTAATAAATGATCCGTAATAAGATGATCTGTAGATTCTAGGGACATTAATGAATTTATTTTAAAAAGTGATTATTTACTGTTGGTAATAGAAAATAGTAATAACTATTTTATCGACTGTCGATAAAATACACAACATATGAACATATTAAATTGTTTATAAAATATCAGAGATGTTACCTCTAGTTGTTTAATCAGAAATAATAGGTTCTGTATCCGTATATAAGTTTATGTTATGAAAAAGAGTTATTAATAAAAATATTGATAAAAAAAATTGCATGAACTCGTAGGAGGACAATATTAGAGTAAACAAGCAGTTTGGAGTTGTAATTTACTTTTTATTTTATCTTGGTTTAAATAAGACTTTTTATATTTTTGTACGTGTGAGTAGTAGTATACGTTTATACGTGGATGTGTGTATGTATGTGTGCTTGAGTACGTGTAACTGTGTGCACATATACACATTTATACAATTCAAAAATGGATTGTTCTAATAAAGTCTAAAAAGGAGTCTTAACATAAGTCTCCGTATTCCATTTACAATGGAACATTGTTGCTTGTAACTGTAGCAAAACCGTACTTTTAGCAGGATAATCGTGCGCATTGAATCACGAAAATACTCATTTTCGAAGGAAAAAAAAAAAATACTCATCGTCGTTTGACATAATTCGAAATTATCTTCAATCACAAAGAATAGTTTCGTCACTATAATGTAAATATAAATGTAATCACACGACAAAAATCGATCATACATTGTACCCCAACCCAGAAACGAAAAAATCAGGATAACGTCCTATCTTCCTAATCACAAAGGAAATTACACGAATACATATTTCAAAAGTTACCTAAGCGGCACACCTTTGTTCAATGAAAAGGAAGAACGGATTGCTCACGAAAATCCAAACTACAAGAGATCACAAGGGATCAACTTTTGGACCGCGTAGCAAGCAACAGTTGTAGTATGCTATGTTCTATAATATTATAGTATATGTATACGAAACTAAAAGAACGGTTCTGCTCTGGAATTTTCCCTGTTATACAGTTCGAAAGGAAATCCTTAACTTATCTGCGTCGTGCCCTGAACTGAATTTTCTCTTCGTCGTTTCCTTTTGTTTCTTTGCCACTAGACTTTTAAGCCACTTTCAAACGTTCAAGCGATTGTTTCGAGGTGATCAACCATGGGTAATAGGATACCTTATTTAATAAAGATGTAGTGAGAACATTCTTGAGTTATTGAGTAACAGTCAACAAGAGAGAAAGAGAGATACCTACGACAAGGAAATTCAACATTTAAGACACACTTGGTGGACACACTTATCAACGAATTAATCCAGTTACCGAAACCTTTTTTCTTTCTTTTTTTTTCCTTTTTCGTTACATGAAAACGTATCCTTATCGTTCACCTGAACAGAACATTTCAGCTTCTTAAGACGCTCGTAATATGTACGTATATATGTACATATATACGTTAGACGTAGAATTTTGCATTTGTTCGCAGTTATTAGAGAAGTTCTCACTAATTCTTTTACAAAAATTATTATCCCATACCTCGTCTTAATAACTACTTAACGCTACCTGATGAAAAGTCTATCGCCCGAAGCGACCGTACGACTCGGTTTCGTTATATATTTGAAATGCAGTTTTTTTTTTTTTTTTCCTTTTTTCTTTTCTCTCTTCTTTCTTTAATTCTCATAATAAAATATTACTTTATACATTTCGTAAACGCCTGTAAGGCCGCGTATGCATAATCACGCTACCATAACGCGAGCACATGCACTGTAGAACTAGTTATTGTACCACAATGAAAGAATAAATTATTACCCGAATGGCAAAACGTGCCGATAGATATACGTGTATATATATTATATGTGTATATATTAAGACGCAAGACAAATGGTATAATTCATACATAGATATCCGACTTTTTTTTTTTTCCTTTTTCTTAAATGTTGGAGAATGGAATCCTTTCTTTTTTTTTGTTTTTTTTTTATTCTTTTTTTTTCTCTTTTTCTCTTTGTATATTTGCTCGAAGAAAATACTTTGAAACTTTTGTTTCATACGAAGGCCCCGTACAGTCACAAGTGTGTGTTCTAAGTAAAAATTCGGAAACTAACTTGTTTGAGTGTACGAGCGAGTTTCTAGAAAATTGCTTATATCGTGGAATT